CCCTTGGCCTGAGGCCTCTTATGGTCAGCACACAATGACCGTCACTCGATCCCAAACGGGGAAAACCCCAAAGTAAGTCATTTAACTGCGCAAGGGAGTGAGAGTTCCATGGGAGAGAACAAGAAGGCACGATGAACCAGGGACCGAGTGAGGAACCCCAGTCGTGAAATTATCTTACCTTCGGTCTACCCCAATTGCGCTTCGCATGCGGACCTTTCACTCTGCTTCTTGTAATTGATTCTGGCTGACCGGTCGATCAATTCCTCTAGGAAAATGGAGCGACCCGGCTTCATCGAGACACCTGGCCGCCGAGTAACCCGCAGCGCCAGCGCCAAACTGTCAGAGGAACCTTCCGACTCGACAGCTGAAGGATCGAAGTCGACAACCCGGAGACGCACTTCTGTCAAGATCAAGACTGAACCTGTGGAGGAAGAGTCAAAGCCATTCGCGACCAATGGTCATGCCGAGAATTCTGGTGTCAAGAAGGCTCGGATTGTGGATGGTTGGGAAGAGGGGAAGGACCCCAAAGTCGACTACAGCGGCCACTTTGAATTTGGAGGCTCGTTCGGTGTCGCGTCCATGATGATCGGATTCCCGCTACTGATGTACTACATGTGGATTGGTGCCACCTACTACGATGGCAAGTTTCCTCGCCCCGCCGATGGACAGAGTATGGCGGACTTCTTTGCGCATCTGGGACACCTGGTATACGAAGGTGCTTTCCCGTCTCTCAAGGCTTGGACGATCTATTGGGTGTTCTTCATCTTCGAGGGAATCTGCTACCTGTATCTTCCCGGTATCACTGTGATGGGTCGTCCTCTGCCGCACTTGGGAGGCAAGCAGCTGCCCTACTACTGCTCTGCTGTTTGGTCCTTCTACACCACCATTGTGCTGGCCTCCCTGCTTCATGTTACTGGCATTTTTAAGCTGTACACTATCATTGACGAGTTCGGCCCTCTTATGAGCGTCGCTATCCTTTCTGGGTTCCTTGTTGCTTTCGTGGCCTACTTTTCGGCATTGGCACGCGGGGCGCAACATCGCATGACTGGGTACCATGTCTACGACTTCTTCATGGGTGCCGAGCTTAACCCCAGAATGTTTGGGATCTTGGACTTTAAGATGTTCTTTGAAGTTCGCCTTCCCTGGTACATTCTGCTCTTCGTTACCTTGGGTGCCGCGGCCAGGCAGTATGAAGTCTATGGCTACGTCTCTGGAGAAGTTGGCTTCCTTCTCATGGCGCACTTCTTGTACGCGAACGCCTGCTCTAAGGGTGAAGAGTGCATTGTGTCAACTTGGTAAGTTATTTCCGGAACTTGCGACAGTGTGTCACAGTCTGATTTATTTGCAGGGATATGTACTACGAAAAATGGGGTTTCATGCTGATCTTCTGGAACCTCGCTGGTGTTCCTCTGAGCTACTGTCACTGCACAATCTACCTGGCCAACCACGACCCGGCCACGTACCACTGGAACCGCTACTTCCTCACATTCCTTTACATTGCCTACCTCTTTGTGTACTGGGTGTGGGATACGACCAACAGCCAGAAGAACCGTTACCGCCAACAGGAGCGGGGAACAATGGTGTTCCGCAGCACCTTCCCTCAGCTGCCTTGGCAGACGCTGAAGAACCCCAAGACCATTACGGCTGAGGATGGTTCGAAGATCCTCGTCGACGGCTGGTGTAAGTGCTGCTCATATCTTACCTTTCATGTCATACATTGCGCTAAACTCGTATACTACAGATGGCAAGGCACGCAAGATCCACTACACCTGTGACCTGTACTTTGCCCTTAACTGGGGTCTCATCACTGGGTTCAGCAGCCCCTTTCCTTGGTTCTATCCTTTGTTCTTTGCCTGCATGATCACCCACCGTGCGATGCGCGATATCGAGCGTTGCCGGAACAAGTACGGCGAGGCCTGGAGGGAGTACGAGAGACAGGTTCCTTATCTGTTCATCCCGGTAAGTGCACTGCCGAGTGTTGATAATGCAGACCGACAGCTGACTTTCACGGCTAGTATGTTTTCTAAGCGTCTCGATGCGCCCACTCCTCGCAGCGCAACCTGGGGGTTTCACATCCCCTGGTCTAAGGTGCAGGTAGGGCCTTACCATTTACAAGCTTCATTGCTTTTGACCGATTTTACCATATCTTGTTGTAATCTCTTTATTGCTCGATCCATATGCTCGAGTCGTGGCTCGACTACGTTGCAGTACATGCATTATGCCTTGATTTTAGTTCTGCATGAGGATAATTCCTCGAGTATCGCATTTCACCCTACCCTGTTAGATTATGAACATTCTATGTACATTATTAGATTGTGCTTCTTGTTTTCTTCTCCTTTCGTCTCCGTTCAACTTTCATTCTTCATGTATTCCCGAACCTAGTTGCGACCAATAGGTAGCAAGCATCTCACTGTATCCTAATTAATACCAGGCAGATACCAATTATATGGTCAAACTGCAGCTCGAACAAAATGCAATTCATCACCCTACTACAAATTACTCATATAACGGTTGACTTTCCACATCGTCATCCCAATGCCTTCCTCAACTTCAAATCACATGACTACCCCTCCATCTTCGGGAATCTTATCGCAACAACAACTGAGCCCCGCCATAACGTTCTATTCAGAATAAAACACTTCAATTGACGATTGGTTGCTTGTCCTGAGCTCCTTCAAACATCGAATAGCTCTATACTACGCCTTGTCTACGACAATTGCAAGCTTAATCCACTATGTTGATCCAGGAATCTTTCCACGATGTGCCGACCAAGGCGGACGGCAGTGGAACTATGCGTATGTTACCCATAAGTAGTTTGAGTTTGAGATTTACCTATAATCCACCTGTAGCTGCGGCTACATTTGAGGATGCCTAGTAATCCTTCATCAAATTGAACATTGCTGACTTGATTCCCACTTCAGGCATGTACGTGTTCCACCCTACTATTCCCGGGTATCCTAAGGCGCGGTTCCCCGGTGTAGTTGTCTTTAGTGAAATCTATCAAGGTAGGTCGCAAGCTCGATCTCTCAAGTCAATTCCAGGAGGATTCCCTGTGGTGAGAAGGGATCAGTATTGATCACACCTATACATATAGTAACTGGTCCCGTCGCGCGATTTGCTCGCCAAATCGCCGGACAGGGATACATCTGTGCGGCACCCTCGAGTTATCATGAATTCACAGGCCCTGAGCCGTTGAAGTATGATGCCGAGGATACGGATAAGGGCAACCAGTGGAAGATTAGCAAGGTGAGTAAAATTCCCCGTCGACTTTATTATTTTACAGGTTGGGTTGTGAAACATGGGAAAAGCCATGCTGAGGGATTTTTATTATAGAAAATCGCAGCTTACGATGAGGACGCCTCATTGTGCGTCGACTATCTTCTGTCACTCCCCACGTGCAATGGCCGTGTAGGTGCGACGGGTATGTGCCTTGGTGGACATCTGGCGTATCGCTGCGCGTTGGACAGCCGCGTGAAAGCGGCGGTGTGCTACTTTGCCACGGACATCCATAGTAAGACGTTGGGGCTGGGGAAGAATGATGATAGTTTGGCCCGGGCGGGGGATATCAAGGGCGAGATGCTCATGGTGAGATAGGAACCCCCCCTGTCCTTTCATTATTTCAAGTCCGCTTCGCGTGCGCGAGGGAATGAAAAGGAGTGCTAACGAGAAGGATTGTTCGTGTGTTGTCGCAGATATTTGGAAAGAACGATACCCATGTTCCGCCCGAGGGAAGGGATTTGATCCGCAAAACCCTTCATGACAAGGGAGTCTTGTTTAGCTTTTACGAAGTGGCTTGGGCTCAACGTAGGTTCTCCATTTTAACCTGTTTAGGAAGGGGTTGTAGAAGGGTGTGGTCGCTGACAAGGGTTCAATAACTAGACGCCTTTATTCGCGATGAGCTCAGTAAGGGACGGTATGACCCTGCTATTACCAAGGTGTGCTTTGAGATGTTGCTGGAATTGTTCGGGCGGACGCTGAAGCTGGATCTGGGAGAGCATGATGGAAAGGAGTTGAAGATTGAAGACGTGTGCTAGAGGACTAGAGGATGGGATCTGCGGACGCTGTTGCAGTGGGTGGATGATGGTATCAATAGGCAACGACGATATATCGGGAAACTAAATCGGTGTGACGACTTCATCATCTGCCCACCATGTTTTGGCATCGACGGCATTCTCCGTCCTGCAGATTGTTCAATCTACTAGTTTACGAAGGGCAATGTTGCTCCTTGGACCTCCCTTTAGACGATTACTTTGTAGTATGATCAATTGGATATACCACAGGTAAGGTATGGATGTAAGGGTGTCGAGCAGACAGATACAAGACAGAGATCCTGGTTGATGGACCCTTCCGAGGGCGCACCACAGTGGCTGTGAGTCCCACTAGGATGAGTGAGATTGGGTGAGATCTAATTTACTTTGTAAAGCGGGACATGCATCTTACTACAAGAGAACACGACATTATGCAGCGTCAGATAGTTTTCCGGGAAGCATAAGCAGTAAGAATGAACAGAGAATAGATGTTGTTGAACCATGTCTGACCGACAGGATGTGTGTGTGTGTGTGTGTGTGGCTGGGGAGGTCCTGCAGGCGTCATTCGGCGAAGGAACCGCGCGGGTAAGACACATCATAGTATGTGGATGTGGATGTACAGTCGAAGGATGGAAGAAGTAAGAAGATCGCAGCGGCATTTCACATCCGGATTTTCATGCAAGATCGATCAAGCACCAGGGAAAATGTTGCCTGTCAACTGCTATTCTTAGCCTCAATACGTAAGTAGTATGTAGCGAATTCTTTTTTATTTTTGCCATGATTCATGACTGGGACTAAATAAGACGCGGGTTGAGAGCGGAACCAGAATAGAAAATGGAGAAAAAAAAATTCAGGAAAGCCCGAGCCATGGATGGCAAAAAGGGAGAACATGATCCATGGTACTTGAATTGTAAGTTTCTGGATATGTTTTCCACAGGGGGTCAAAACTCTGATGAAGTTCAAGTCCAGGGGTTGTTGTTGTTAGTATAGACTGTGTCTCTGTTCAGTGTTCACACAGTCTTTACCAGCCGCATGAAGTAATTCCCGCTTTGCCAGCCTATCTGGTTCCTGGATCTGCTGCGCTTCAGCTGCAGGGTTTCCAGTTATGACGGACAATGCCTTATTTAGGGGCCATTCGTTGGCTGTGGATGGCGTCGCGCAACGGGCCTTTCTTTCCTTCTGGGTCTTAGTTAGTAGTCTTAGACTGACTGGTGGGATGGACTCGCACTGCCTATCATCGTCACCCGAAAGATCTCCCAATTCAACGCTAAAACCGCGCCAGTCTGGAACTAATTCCATCCCATCTTTTTCCCTCGACGCTCTGTTTTCCAGCACAGCAAAGCTAGACTCGACATTGATTAGCCTGCTTCTTGTTGCTGAATTAGTACTATCTCTCTCCCCATCATTTCCCCTCCCCTTCTTCTTCTTCCTTTTCTCTCTCTTTCGCTTCCTTCCGACGCTTTTCGCCCGGACAGCGTGGCTCAGCATCATCATCTTCTTCTTCGTCTTCCCCTCCTCGCTTCGTTGTCTCTCTATCTTACCTCTCTATTATTCTCATCTTAACTTGATCGATCGTTCATCTTTTCACACAGTCATTCTAGACTTGTGTATGACTTTGTTACTCGACGACGCTGCTTGTTCCCGTCCCCACACATAACTACCACTACAATACTACTACTACACATACCCACCCGGCCCTACAGATCGTCCACCTGCGCCGGTGTTTGAGATTATCGCCTTCACGATTCTTTGGCTCACGCCCTCGGTCTCCCTCGACTTGCTGATATTATTTACCCTTCCTTTCCCCTTCGGTTCCTCTTGCGTCTTTCAATCTTCCGATCAATCCGCTCCATCCTTTTCCCGCTTTCTTTCAACTGTCCGACTGCACGTCGAATTGTGAACCAGGCCTCTCAGGCCCTCCCCTCCCCCTCGTCTCTCTTCCTTCTCTTCTTTTTCCCTTTTCGTGGGCAGCTTGTCTCTCTCACTCTCTGTCCCTGTTGGCCCCATTCTTTCTCCCGTCGTTTCAAGCCAAACTTCCCACCCTGTTTCAAAATTAATTCTTATTGCTCCTTATCACCCTCCTGTGTAATCATAATTGGTGCTCTCTTCTTGTTCCCACATTCCAGATCTGCAGCGGAGCCATCGTGACCGACGTGGGTCTGCCGAACTCGATCGAATTATTCACCGTCATCACCACCACCACCACCACCGTCTGACCACACCTGCTCTCCGTGACCTTGGTTGCATGGTGTCGCGCTTCGTGCCTCTTTAGCCATGGGTTCGACACAGTTTGGAAATTTCAACGTGGGTTTGCGATTGATCTATCGTCTGCATCTGCCGGAATATCGAAGAAGCTGACCGTGAATGATCTGCATGTGCAGGACTTTTGTCGAGATTCCACACTGCCCGTCTGCAATGTACGTTTTCCCTTCCCCCAATTTACTTTATCCCCAGTTGCCTTTTTCTGTTCCTGTCATCGGCTGTCAATCCTCAATTGATACATTCCATGTGGCTGACCATGTGCTTCCGATAGCTCTTTGTCTCCAACAACCAACCCCCTAATGAGGCGTACGGAGGATGCCCGCTTCACGGTATCGAACTCAGCGATAACCGCTACCTCAGCAATCTGGGTATGGCATACCAGACAGGCTCATGGTGGAATTCTCAGCGCTAATCTCCACAGGCTCGATTCTTCTCGCGTTCGTTTCCATTCTAGTATCGCTGTTCCTGCTCTTCAGGTCGGATCGCAAACGGGCGGCAGTCGGAAGGAGGTACGCGACAAATGATTGGACAAGGAATATGGACGGAAAAGTGCTGATTGGAATAGGGAAATGCAAATATTTCTGCTGGCATTTATCGTCGTTGAAATCTGCGAGATCTTCTCTGTGGGCGGCTTCCCTCTGGATGCAGCAGTGCGCAAGGTTAGTGGTGCGACTCCTCACACGGGATTGCTGTGTCTAATCAGCATGCATAGGGCTTCTCCGCTGCACATGTCGCTGCAATCACCGCAACGTGCTGGATTCTTTTTCTAAATGCCGTGGTGGGCTATCAATTCCTCGACGACGGTACCCCGGCCTCCATCGGTCTAATCATTGCCTCCGCCCTGGTTCTCTTCATCGGTACGGGCTATATCGCCCTGGACACGGCTTTCGATTGGACCGGTGAGTTCGCGACAACCGAGGCAAACAACTATCGCAACATTGCCCTCTATGTGCTGTACCAACTCTTTCCTCTCATCTGCCTCGTCGCGTTTTATGTGTTGGAGGCTGTCCTAGTTGTTCGGATCTTGGGCGAAGTTCGACCAATGAGTATGTTCACAAACTATCTCCGGATGATCTTCCTCTGTTGCATCTGACTCTAACCTGTCGATAGTCTACTTGACTGCTGCCGCCCTGTTATTCGCCATCGGACAAATCTTTGAATACGTGATCAGCGTTCACCTCTGCCACGCCTCCGGCAGCAAGATCAACGGCGCATTGTTCGAGACACTATTCACTCTTTTGGCAGTTGGGACGATATGGAGCTTCTGGAGCAGCATTACCGAAGACGATTGGCCTATGCCGATAACAACCGGAGGTGCATACCATTAGAGCACTCAGTGCGGAAAGCTCCTCGTCCCCCATTAATACTCCCCATCATTCCCTCCTCATGTCCGACTTGTTTATATTACTTCTCTACGATCCTTGCACATCGGTGCTTCGATACCCGCCCTTTGCTCTTCGCATACTCGACGCGTCCACGGAGTTTACGACGGGCTATGTTCTCGCCATCTTTTGTGATACCTTTTTACGTTTTATGATGTTTTTGATGCGACGTTGGTGTGGTTTTATGCTTTGACTATGACTTGATTCTATCCACTGTGAGATGAGATCTACTTGCCCTGTTGACGAGTGTGATCGCAGCCGGTACCTACCTATCTTTGGGCTTAATTCTTGCTTCCAGCTAGATACCTATTTGCATTGTAATTAGTACGATGACGTTACTTTCATTACCAACATCTGCGCAGACTATGGTTTCGCACTCGATATATCACCAGTACTATAATATGACCTCAAGTGCAGAGACCGGCGATCATGATACTATCTAAATCCCAAGGATTGCTACCGTACTTCCACAACTACCTACATGGCACCATAAACATAAAAATGACTACCATATGCACCCGTGTTATCAACGACAATCCGTTTCAGCACAAGATAGGACAAGGATTGAAGAAGATGATAGTTATGTACATAAAAGCCCCGCAGGTTACACCGGAGAATTTTCCCACGAAGCCACTCCATACCAGGTCTTTCTTCAAGGAGGACATATATAATATGCATCATGTATGCAGCTAGCTGCAAGTCCACCGCGATTTCTCTATGTTTATATCGACGTCCAACTCGACTTTTGGACTTGGAACAGTAGAAGAACAGGAGAGAGGGTGCAGAGGAGAGAGTGGAGGGGAGGTGATGGTGATGTGAGAGTGAGAAGTGAGAAGATATACACAACATGCGAATGCCGATCTCTTTCAACAAGACAAAACAATAAAATGAAATGAAATGAAGGGTGAGGGCAAAGTGAGAAGAGAACCAGAAAAATCTAAACCATATAAAATCTAAATCCCTCCGTCCCCCTCTCCTTTCCCCCAAACCCACCCAATAAAGTATAAAAAATAAGCGAACACCCCCCTAAATTACAACCTCACCTTAACATCCACACACGGCAACGTCCACTCCCTCCTCCCCAAAAGACTCCTCAACCACTCAAGCCCAATACCCGTCCACTCATCATGCGCGGAAGTCATCGTCCCCGTCCCCGTCGACGACGACGCCGCCGCGGCTAACGTTCCATTCAGGGCGAGTCTGCGTTGCGCTTCTTCGACGACGGCACCGGCGAGGGCTTTGGTAGTGCTGTTGACGGTTTCGAAGACGTAGCTGGCGAGGGTTTCGTTGGATGATGTGGTGGTATCTAATGTGGTGGAGTAACGCGGAGAGAACCAGTCACCGCGGAGATCGAAGAAACATTTGTCGGACCAGTGACAGGAGGAAATGAAGAGGATGAGGAGGAGCGCGGAGCAGTAGATGCAGGGTCGGTGGAGGATGTAGGTTAGGGTCACGAAGGAGATGATGAAGAGGGGAGAGGCGTTTGTTGGGATGAAGAGGAGGGGGAGCCAGCTATATTTTGGGTTCATTTAGTATATATGATTTTGGAGAGATCGGTATGGATGGATGGGTTAGGTTGGCTTGCTTGCTTGCTTGCTTACCTCCGGAGACAGAACATGGTGCTGGTTTGGGGTTTTGGGGGGGTTTGTCGATGGTCGTTTGGGATAGTGGTTGGTGAGGGTAGGTAGTAGGTATTTGGACGGAATTGCGGCAATGATGTCGATCGGTGATAAAGTGGTTTGGTTTGGTTTGGTTTGGTTGAGTGACGGTGACAGTGACAGGAAGAGATGGTGGCGAGGGAAATGTAAGGGAAGGGTACCGGTAAGGTTGTTCGAGGTACCTCACTTCCGAGGATGGACAGTTAATTGGTAAGGTGTGAATTTGAATTGTAAGTGAAACAGATGTTGGTGAATTATGACTCGAGTATAATAAATAGTACTGATGATGATATGGTATTTATGGTTCGTGATTCTTTTTCCTTTCCTTTTCCCTTCATCCTTTTTCCCAATACATACAGACATACCATACCTGACCATACAAGCAAGTAAATCAGCCACACCGCCTGCCAAATTCACTAGCCACAAAAACCTCTCCGCCGTTCATTTCTTCCGCTTCTCGCTTCGACTCGCTCTTCGCCGAGCTTTCTCTTCTCTCTTCCTCTTTTCCCTTTCTTCCTTCCCTTCTCCCCTTTCTCCCCCTTCGTTGTGTACTATAGTCAGTCCGTCCTTTTGGTCTTCTTGCTTGTTCTGCTTGCATTCCTTTTTTCTTTCTCCTTCGCGAGTCTGCCTGCTCCTTTTTCTCGCGTTCTCTTTCCTTTGCCTCGCTTGTTGTCTCTCGAAAGAGAGCTTCTTCGCACGACCTTTGGAGCTTGAATTTCGTTTGGAGGTCGCCTCTTCCACCCCGGCGAGCGACAGAAATGTCCACCCCCAATGATCTTCAGGCCCTTCTGGCCAGCATCAGGCCGCGCCCCTCGCCATCGGGCACCCCTGCTCATGATGCTCCCATGCAGCAACAACAGCAGCAGCACCCCGGCCAGTACCAGCCTGCTTACCGCCAGCAACAGCAGCAGTTCCAGCCGCCCTATGACGGCCAGAGCTACCCTCACCCTCAACACCTCCACCACCACGGCTACCGTCATCCATCCGTCTCGTCGAATATCCATAGCCCGTCGCCGGTTAATACTCCGCCTCATCATGGCTCGGATATCCTTAGTCCCAACGTTTCCACTCCGCGTGCGGACATTTATCCCCAGCAGCAGCCGCAGCGGCAGCCGCATCATCAGCCCTTGCCGCAAAACCCCGACCGTGCTGTCAACCTGTTGAACCTCCTCAAGTTCAACCAGCCTCCGGCTGCTCCTGCTCAGCAACAGCAGCAGCAGTCGCCCGCGGTGATGGCTGGGATCGATCAGCCCAAATACCCCGAGGCGCGTGCTGCTGCTCCGGAAGAGGCTTCGTCGGGCCATGCGAGGAACATCTCTGCGTCCGACCTTGTCGCGTCGCTCTTTGGACAGGGTCAATCCACTGCTCCACCTGTTAGACCGGCGGGTACTCACCCTGGTCAGCTTGGGGCTGCGGCTGCGAGTCCCGGTGTGGCAGAGAGCTCCT